AAAAAATAAAAATAATTGATTTCAAAAATTCAATTTCTTTGAAAATAAGCTTAATTGTCTCTTAGCATTCATCGCATTAAACACTTCTGTACAAGAGCAAGTGCTATAACAGAGATATCTACTGTAGTGTTAACAATGCTCTTCCGCCACATACCATACACGTTCCAGTTTCTTAGCAACCATGTTAAATGCAGAAACACATATGTACTTTAACAGAAACAGTAACAGTAGGTATAACAGAATTTACCGATTGCCTAACAACACTATTCACACTTTTGCATATGCCCATATATAAATCTGGTAACAGATGCAGAAATATAACAACTGAATCGCAAGAGCGAAGCTATATCTTTCACCTGAAATTTTTGTTACGAAAAGTTGGCGTGCATAATACTAATTTCCTGCTACAAAAGCTCTTTTTCCGTTTATTTTTTAAGTATTTTGAATTTCAATAAAAAGCAGAGTATGACTCCAAAAATAATCCTTACTTTCTGTTTCTATAATTAACAGTTGTCATGAATCTGTTGTTTAGCAACTTGCAACTTACTATTATGCTGAACAGATTTGGCAGAAATATATAATAGCTGAGCAACGTTAAATATTCCGTTATCCTGTTTCTGTTGTGAAAACAACGTTTTCGGTTTCTGTTTTGATTTCCATTGCTATCAGCTGTTAGCTGGTTTGGTTCCCAGTCAACACAAATAATTTTTTTATAGCAGTTATATGCTGTTTATTAATGTTATGCTTATTGCACAGCGTCGTTAAACATTCTGTTATATTTTTACTGTCTTCTGAACAGCGTTTTCAGTTTCTGTGTTAATTTCTCTTGCAAGTATCTGTTTCAGTTCACAGTCACCATAAATATCTTTGCTCAGTTGCAGTTATGTATAGGAAGTTATCCAAATACATACTTTCACGAAAACCTTGAAGTAGCAGTAGTGTAACGCCTTTATATTCTGTTAAGCTTTCTGGTATAAGCAGTTTCTGCTGAAGGACAATATTTACGTTTCTCTGCTAAATATCATATTGCTCTCTTGCGTTTATTTACTGTTTCTGCTTCCGTTGCTACATATTTGAATGCTTTCAGATTTTGTAAGACTGCTATTTCTGTTTCTGTTATTAGCAGTGTTTACAAGTACATACGTTCTCTTATATTCTGTTAGCGCAACAGTAGTTCATCTCACAATGCTGGGTTGCTAATATTTGAGCTAATTTTTTATATTAGCAAAAAAATTATGGAAAAAATTAAAAACTGAATTTTATAAAATTCCTTAATTATGTTTCAAAAGTCAAAATTTAATATTATAAAATTTTTCTGTTAGCACAACACTCTTTAATACATTCTAAAAACTAGTTTAATTGGATGGATTCCGGAAACCTAGCAAACAGCCAATGTCAAGGTAAGCGAGAAAAAAATAAAAAAATAAAAAACACTCTTATACATCCTCGGGACCAACTGATTCACTAAAATCAAATTTTTGCTACACATAACATTTCCAACTATATAGTAAAATACGCCTCGTTGCATAGCGTAGTATTCAAATGAGCTTAGAGTCTTGGACGAAATTATTATTTCTGTTGATATTTAATGCAAATATACTTGCTGCTGTTGAGTGTGTAATTTATGCAAATACAAACATTTTTATTCATACATTTTTTTCTTTTATTTTTTATATGTATTTCTTTTAATTGGACGCAATAAAATTTTTAAACCACCTTTTGTTTAATTTCTTCCTTACACATACACATATACATAAATCTATACAAAGACAACATACACATAATACAACTGTACACAATGAGTTGGCTTTACATATACACATACACTTAGCTGCTGCGTTTAAATAATAATAATCATAATTTACACATTTTCATTTCACACACACATGCATATACACAAATGTAATCATAATATGTGTAAGTACGTCAACTTAAGTGCCGTTTAACTTATGAATGGTGCGACTTATGCTCACATATATATTATATAATATATACATATGTAAGTTATGTTATGTTACGTTATGCCATGTTATGTAAGTGAACTTAATGCTTTGTTGTTAAAGCGCTGCTTTAAGCGCGCTCCTACTTTTTCTGCGCGCTTTTTAGTGATTTTCATTTATTTTCGCTCTTCTTTAGTCTATGCGCTACCCTTTACAACTCTCTTTTTTGGCTAAGCTTTTATTGTGGTTTGCTTTTTTTTATTGATACAAATACAAATTTTGCTTAAAAAAATTAATGCCTTGCATGTTGCTTGTGCTTTAGCGGTCTTACCTACAAATGTTTGCTAAGTTTGCTTTAAGTAAAATTGTGTTTCTTCAGAAATTTGTTTTTATTTTAATTTATTTTTTTGTTAAATTTTGTAACGCGCAACTAATGCTTCGTAATGCTTCTATGTAATGCTGCTATTCTATAGTATGTCTGCTTTTTATGTTCAACTTTGCTAGTCGTACTGTTAAGTTTTGGAAATACCTTCGTTAGTATTGGTTAAGGACAATGCTTTTGCTTTAAGAAAAAATTACTATGTTAAGTACGTTTCACTTTCTGTTTGGCCGCTTGGTTACGTCTTTGTTTGGTTTTATGAAAGAACTGCTATTTCTATATTTTTCTGTGTCACTAAAACTATTTAACTTTTTCTTTTAATTAAATAATGTTTTTTTCAAAATTTTATTTATCGACTTTAATTTAAAAAAATCCACTTTAATCCTATTAAGTACTAAGTCAAGTTAAGAAATTTCAGCGCAACTTTAATTTTAATTTTAATTTAATTTTTTTTTTTTAGTTTTCCTTTAAACTATTCGTAGCAATGTATTGGTCTAACCCGTTATTACGCTATATGTATGTATGTRTTTATCGGCTGTGTAATCCTATGTAAAAAATTTGCACAACGAAAACTCATAATTTTCTCCTAGCCTATGAAAAATCTACTAAGAACCGAAAGTACCCGTCTACACGACGGCACGTTTGAAAACTCAAAGCAATTGCTACATTTGTTAAATTTATTTTTTATTTTTTTACTTGTATTTTGTCACTACAATTTTTGTATTAATTTTTAATTATTATTTTTTTTTTTGCTTTCACTAATTGTTTAACATTTTAAGTCCTGCTTATTTGCAATTTGGCCTTATTTTATCCACAATTGTTGTTGTTGTTGTCATAACTTCATCATCATGTTGTCTGTAGTAGCAGCGAGGTCTTGACGCTCCGTTGCCTTTTCTTATAATGTCAGTGTTGTATTTTTAATATAGCCGGGTTTAAATGTACTTTTACCTTGTCTTGGCGCCTAGTACCGTTGTTGGTACTCGTGGTGCCAACGATTAAAGTCTATGTGAAAGACAATAATCGAGCCAGTGGACAGACCAGCAAGGAGGTATCTGAAACGAGAGAGAGAGAGAAAGAGAGAGAGAGGAGGAGGAAAATGTGGAATTAATATCAACTTTATCTAGTAATTATAACCACTACAGACTACACTAGATATGTATAATCGCAATAAATAGTATGTTTATCTCTTTAATCTTAATTTACTAAGGAAAAATTCCCTCAAAGTTTTTACTACCAAATCCTTCAACCATTTGAATAACGATATGTAAAAGTCACTGTTGATGGCCCTTCCTTTTTCAAAACAAACTATGAAAATTATCCGATTCGTATCCCCACATAAATATGCCATAACCTTGCGTTTTTTACACTTTGGTCCGCACCATCATCTTGTGCAGTCCACTCGGATGACTTACGTTTGAACTTCGATGTGAAATGATGAAGCCGAGTTTATTACGCTTGAACCTCTCATTACTCCAAATCTCAACATCTAAAATTATTTGCATGACTTTTTTGACCTTTTCGTCTGATCTTTTAGACATTCACTGAGTTCACCGTCTTCGGTGCTCATTTCATCACGTCGAAACTGGGGCAGTGCCCGGAAACTCATCATCAAACCAAGTTGTTACTTCACCTTTTTATTAATTTTTTCCTTTCAAAAATCAATATTTTATCAACACTCGAAATTCGTTTTTATCCATTTTTTTCACAAAAACAACCTTTATTCCCCTTCAAACGCAGAGACAAACATTTTTTATTTAAAATCAATTATTTTACTTAAATCTTCAAAAAAAGTTTTTACTGTCTTATTTATATCTCTAACATATCTAAAATATTGTTCTAAATACTCAAGTTAATCCGAGTTGTAATCGATAAAAATAATTAATAATCCTAGTTAATACTTACTTTTGATCGTGCGTTAACGCCAATGAACGTATTGCAGCATTGCAAGCAGGGAAGGCATATAAGGGTGCCAAGTTGAAGGTTCGCCAGACCTCCACGATGCCGCGATCACCGGCAGTCATCAGATATTCACCATCACGTGAGAGCAACATGCACTGAAAATGCAGTTTAGAAAATAGAAAAAAGAAGAAAGCAATAATATAAAGAAGCGTTAGATAAATTTTTATACGTATGGATTTTGAAAAAATGTTGTTAAAGTAGTTGTGTCTAAATACCAGACTAACTGAATAACTAACCTGCAAGTTATCATTGTGCGTTTCGTGGCGCAACTTTTTGCCATTGATGGTGTAGGCGGCCACATTACCCTTATCATAATTGACAACAATGAAACCTTCGCGAGACATGGCAATCAATTCGGGCGAATAGAAATCCATAGGCGGATCAAGCGAACGCAAGAGATCACCAAAGGTGGTATGTATCAGAACAGGACCGTCTACAAATAAAGGCAGATAAAGGTGGAAGAAACATTAATGTGGAGCAATACCGCAGACATTATTTTAATCTAGAATCGCTACTTTACTGGACCTAACATTTTTTCTTTTACAAATTTTGTTGTTAATCCTATTAAATAGAGAAAGTTAACACTTACTTGTCGATCCCGAGACGACTAAACCCAACTCAGCACTAATCACAACCGAAGTTACAGCTTGTTCATGTCCGGTTAGAGTGGCACGCGGTGTTGGTACATCACCCTCACCAACAATACTCTGCGTACGCGCATTCCAATGCCACAGCAGGACCGTACAGTCTGCTGAACCCGATGCGATGTAACAGTCCGATGTTATATTGCACTCTGAGCGTGCTAAACAGGTGACCACACCGAAATGGCCGAATACAATTTGCACAATTTTAGCTAGAAAAAGCGATGTAGTGGAAAAAGAACGCATAAGTAAAGATGCTGAGACCATCTAAAAGCTGCGGAGAGTGGCTGTAATGATATGGATTGGGGATACTTACCAGTTTCAGTGGCGAACACACGAAAACTGTTATCCCAGAAGCCGCAAGCGATGAGGAAACGGCTGTCCACAGTCGTGACAAAACAGTTGGAACGGATCTTCAACATTTGACTGAAATTGTCCCCCAGATGTCGGCGATTCATGGGGTTATTGTGACCTGTATTTTGTGCAGCTAAAGGTAGAAAAGGGATTAAAAGAGAAAAATAATAATTTTAGAATACAAGTTTAAACAAATATTTAGGATGGAAAATCGTATAAAAAATAAAGGTTTTCTTGAAACCGCTGCTTACACAAGACAGGATCGATGGTCAGCGGCAGGTTTGAGCCGGGCGATTGTGGCGACTCAGCATAACTGGGGCTCTGGACGGATGCGGTGTAGTTGCAATTCCAGCGATTCACGGCGAACTGATGGCCCGCAGTCACGGTCACCACCGATGGCAGCGACAATTGCGGATAGGTATTGGCAGAGATGTGTATAATTGGTGAGTTCTGATAGAATTTAAGCGACATACAGAGATCATCGGGCATGGCGCTGAACATCATCGGTGACAAATGCATTGCCGAGCTGCGCGGTGGATGTGGTTCCATTAGCAGCTGGCTGGGTGTCTGGCCGAAATTACGGATTTGATTCTCCACTGCCTCACGCATAACTGGATCGCCAATAGCATCCAAATCTACGCTACCCTCATAGGTTAAGTAGTAAAAGACATTAGTGGCGCGTATAGCTTCGGGACCACGTTGTTTGTAGCCAAATATCAGATCGATCCATTGATGTAGTTGGCATGAGACGAACTCCGACTCTAAAGCCATGCGGTTGATGCGCACGAATTCTTCGGGACTTTTAGACCATGGCGGCAGCTCAACATCGTTGACGAGTGTGCCATCTTCGCGATGGCCCAGACGATAACTGGACGAATTGTAGAACATTTCTGGCAGGAAATACCATTCGGGTATGAGTTCTTTAACATCGGATGTGTCACGTTGGCAGTTTTTCCACGAAAGCGATATGGAGGAGAACAAGCGGTCGGGATAGTCGAATTTTCCGCCTTGCAGCGCTAAGAACATGGTGGTGAAGGGCTCAACACGTACCAACCAATTTAGTGTGAAACTCGATGTAGAATAATGGGTGCCATAGTGGAATGGTGGTATCGTGTCACTTTCCCAGCTCTCGTAGCGCTCCTCAAAATAGGCGCGTCGTGACGGATTCAATGCACCTATCGGTTTCGAGAGATCGCGATAGTTCGAAGGCAGACTGAGGTCTAGTTCTTTTGTGTCATAATTGGTAAGCACCCATGGAAAGACTGGGTACTGATTGAGGTCATTGTAAGTACGTCCTGCTATTGTATTGAGGAACATTAAGTACTCGAAATTGGAAATTTCGCGTCGTTGCCACTTCTGTGTCATATTAGAGTTGCGCATCAGCTGACGGGGCGACATCATCGAAGCGCGTCGTGTTTGTGGTATGCCATATTTGATGCCGACGCCAACACGCGGCAAAGCTTTGATGACCTTCTTTACAGTATGTTGATCGGGGAAAGCGAAAAGTATGGAGGTGCGACTAGCTAGGAAAATCTCCAGTGCCACATTTTGCAACAAGTAACGACGCGAGAAGATCGCGCGCACTTCTGAGAAGTACCACTTGCCATGCAGATGATCGCAATACTTCAGCACCTCGGGATCGATCTTCTGAAATTCTGGATGATCTTCGTCCACTTCGAAGAACATTTCAGTGCTGGTGATAGACACTGTACCGGGTGCCACGACACCGGGTGCAATTAGTTTTGCTTTAGTGCTAATGTTGACTGGTCCTGTCAAGTCCAAATCCAATTCACGGTCTTCAATCAACAGCTCGGCATCATCCAACAGGTCGGCTGTATGCTGGGATGACTGATGGCCGCGTGACACAGCAATCTGTGTATGGAATTCATCACGTGTCTGTAAGATCGCATCCTCAGGTGCACCATTTTCAATGGCCGCCTTGAGCGTGGCCTGTGGATGTGACGAGCCGCGTGGATTTTGTACCATACGCTTGCGACGGCGTGCATCATCCTCCCAGGCATCCAATTTCCAAAATGTTTGCTTCTGCACAGTACCACTGGCATCACCCCAAGCACCATGCCTATTGCACATAATATTACGCACCTTTTCTAAGAGGCGACTAGCAATCACGTTGTCACGTCGGCGCGCCGCGGTGATGAGATGGTCACACATGCGCTCTTCCTCGCGCCGCTCCAACAGCGTTTGTGCGCATTGTGACTCGAAATCGGCATGCTTGAGCACGTCATCGGCACGCATACGATTCAATATGAATTCAGCTTCATTAGCGACGCGCACAATGTGATCCTTCATGGCATGCGATAACAGGCGACCCTCATTAATCAATTCAATAAACGCCAGACCGGCATGCTTCTGCAGACTGTTCTGCCACTCTTGTGAACACAGCAACATCACTAACTCGACCACGGAGTGTGAATTCTTGAATGTCGTTAGACCTTTACCCTCCATCAACAGCTCTTGACCGTGCGAGCCGACGAGCGTTTTCGATAGGAATGGCGCAAAGTCGACCATTATTTCACGTAACAGTGGACACACCGGACCCAGCGCTACTTCCAGCTTCTGCGTAAGGCTCGCCTCACGCGAGGGCGTTGTCATCGGCAGCTGGCCAACGAGTGGTGGTTTCATTTGTAGCTCATCGGAGCGTGTGCCACGCTGACCCACATTGCCGGCAGCCGTGCCAACGCCCGCGCCTGACGCGCCAGATGCTGTTGCATAACTGTCCGGTACGCGCACAACCGATATTTCCGAATCGGGTTTGTCGCCGCGTTCGCCGCCAGCACCCACCAACTGATGTCCGTGGTGTACTTGCATTTGTTGAGCACCCTGCGGTTGGCCATGTCCTGACGTTGTTGACTGCTGTTGTTGCTGCTGCTGTTGTTGTTGTTGGTGTGCATGATGTTGCAGCCCGTCGATGTCACGCATTTTCCCATCCACTGCCGACATGCCGCCCGACAGTAAACCACTTGCGGTGGCCTGTACACCGGCATCCTCATTCAAATTGACATCTGTCCAGCTTTCGTCGTTCGAGTTGGTCGGTTTGTTGTCATCGGCCAGAATTTCACTCGACGATTCCACTTCAGGAACTTCGTTCTCCGTTGAATTCATGTTCAACGAACCGACATCCGAGTCGACACTCTGCGTTGGCCGGACGTGAGTTTTAATGATTCATGCGGTTGTTGTTGTTATTGTTGATTTTGGTTGTGTGGTGGTATGGTGATATGGTGGAATTAAAATGTTACGTTGTTGTCCATTACGAGTCGTCGTTGTTGTTGGTTTTGCACGAAATTTGTCATTGCCGTGCGTGGCGTTGGCATTTGGTGTGGAAAGCGAAAATAAAACAGCGTGCGCGGCGGCAAAATGCAGTAGTGGTTGGAGAAAGAGCGAGAGAGAAATTAAAGTATAAATTAATTTCATCATATTAACAGCTAGTTATGTGTGTGTGTGTGTGTGTTTATGATTGATAACTTGCTGACGAGATTGCCAATTGCGCGGTGAACTTAGTGACACGAAAATGACAAATGAACAATGAGGTCACATGCGATTGAGTGCATTGCAAAAAGGACACATGTATAAGTTCAAAGCATAGATTGGATTGTGTTGAAGATATGTGATGTATTAAGAACAAATAGAACCATCAAATTGGAATTTATTTTTGAACTAAAACAAATGTGTGCTGTTGCTGTTGTTGTAACGGCAGAATTCTGCCGAGTTGACAGTCCTTGGCCGGATAAAAATCCGGGTCCGTTCCGGTTTTCGTAGACCCGACTGTCGTGGGAACGAAACGAACGAACTTTGAATAAGCAAACATAAAAAACGCATACGCTTATACAACAAAAAGAAATGTGTGATCCTTTCGGCTGGTAAGCTACGAAGAAGTTCAAAACATAAAGATTGTATCACCTGAGTAGACTTTTAAAAAGTGCTTTTTCAAAGAACAAAAATTGTTCAATGATAGTTCAAGGAGGATTGCAACGCGACCTAAGGTCGATAGTGCCCTCTCCTAAGTCACAGCGATCCACTTGCCCCAGCATGTTGAGGAATTCCAATATACTGCTAGGTGCAAGTGAGGCGATGTGATCCCTATTTGGAAACATGGATCCAAGTGCCTTTATCCTGCGCTATGCTATACAGTCTATTAGGAAGTGGTCTAGAGCTTCACGCTCCTTGTCGCAGAATCGGCAATTTTCACAAGAAGCTGGGCTATGTTATATAAGACTGTGTAAAATCTGACAAGTAACCTGAATTTGTCCCTAGGGAGATTAATTACATATTTAAGCCTATTGATGTTGCAACCCCCATTAGAAACTTAGCATGGCACTTGCCTTGGAGTTGTTGCCAATACCTCTCTCTGTCTACTAACTCTTCCTTGCGGAGTAGCTCATTTATGGTCTGAGGACCCAGCTTGATGAAGGGATTAGGTCCTACCATTTTGGTTGATGCTGCGGAGCATCTGAGCTCATCGCCAGTTCATTCCAACAAGAAAATCCAAAAAATTTCTTACTTTTTGGAGTGGAAATTTATACACGGAAGTCTCCTGAGAAAAGAGTATTTCAAAAAAAGTTCGAGGCGTTCCCACTGTATAATTCATTAAGTCTATAAGGCTTTCGTATAACGCTTAAGACTACTAGATCGTTCAAGAAACAGAAAATTTAGACGATTGCCCTAAACTGATTTTTTTTTTTTTGCAATAGTTGTTCCGAAAATGATTCACACAATGCTCAAAATGACCTCCAATTCATTCAAATTGAACAATGGATGGATGAATGGATACATCAAATGGCTAGACACATTCAGTTAACTTCCTAAAGACACAGGTCTACAACTAGCATCCACAATCGACCGACGCTACTGCACGCATTCCGACGGCCCAATATGAGAGAGTGTGAAGTTCACGTTCCATATAAGAAGAGAGGACGTTATTGTAATGAAAGAACATGAAATTTGTAGTTTTTTTTGTCTCAAGGACTCACAGTAGAAAAGTTTAAGCTGGTCTTATTTGCTTCAAGAGTAGAGTGTTTTATTATATCTCCGAAAAGCGCTAAACTTGGAACAAAACGATGACAAAATAAATAATGCTTCCAAGACGAAATTTGAAAATTTAAAGAAATAAAATTTACTTTATCGCGTTGAGAAGTGGAATGGTGGTTACAAACACAAAGGACCCAACAACCTCAACGGCGCCATTTAGAGAGTATATTTTGCACATAAAAGAGTCTTTATTCCTAAACATGGCGGAAATGTACTCAATCGGCTCAAAAATAATAATTTTTAAAAAATCCAGCGGAGGTTTTTTTTCGTTTTTGCGTTCGAAAATGTATTTCTAAATATGGTCGACCACTTTTTGCCATTTCTCCTAAAAACATTATTCCATCGCTATAAATCGAAATTTCGAAATTTCCAGAACAGAAGCGAACGAGCCATTGTTGTGCTACATGAACTGATACAACATCGTCTCAAACCTCAACCTCAAAAATCTCATTCATCAACTTTCCCGAATTAATTTTTTTTTTGTGGTTAAATTAAACTTAAAATCTCACCTTTCCCACACTAACAATCGGGTAAAAAAAATTAAAAGTGGATTTTTGGTCAGTACTTGTACATTTCTCAGAAAACTATGAGTTTTTCAATTTATAATGTTTTTGTCATTGAATTATTAAATTCTTAACATAAAAAAATTGCCTTAAAATAATCAAACTTCAAACGTTAATATATTAAACGGTATAGTTCATGGAAAAAACATAGTAAACTATTGTGTGAAGTATGTAATTTTCATACATAATGTGTGAAACGAGATGATGATCTCGTTAAGAGCTCATACTTGGAGCGACCTCCTTAATAGTGTCGAAGAGCACTAAGTGCAAAAAAAATTGTTTTACCGACCCACCTTTATATGTACTATATACTATATTTCTGGATTAAAATAAAGTCGCTTATATTAAGCTGAAATAAGAAATGTTATAAATAATCCAATATCCCTAAGCTTTCATCAGAACTATATTTTGTTCGATAGGAATGCGTATTTCTCTTTTTGTAGCCTCTTTTCTCAATATTGTATTTTCAGTTATGGCACCAACGATGACAACTGTCCCAGAAGCCATTAATTATTTAGCAATCCAAAATCAGAAACCAAATCACAAATCAATGGCGGCAATTTGAATTTACTTAAAGCTGGATTTCCGTCGTCATTAATGTTGTTGTTGTTGACTTTAACCAAGTCGGTGCGTATTAGCCAACCGCAACTCAGATAAAACAGTCAACAGTTTGCTAAGCATATAGACTAACACAGACACATATTGACATTTACAGTTATGCGCATATATTACAGCGCTGGACAAATATATATACACATAACGGTTAGTGACTGTCACGCGCTGCATTTAACAGATGGCAGCTGGTACGAATATTTGACAAATGTGAACTGTCATATGCATGTCAGATGGCCAGCACTTGGGCTATAAAATACATGTGTCAATAACTATAAATATGTATGTATCTATGTATGTGTGGGTGTACTTGGTTGTAACAGCAATCTCAGCAGCAAAAATGTTTGATATGTATATATAAATATGTAAATAAAAGTAATATATAAAGACAACCACATACTCGTATGCATTGTATGTGTGTGTGTGTGTGTGTATGTGTCTTTACGCATGAATTGTGGATATTTAACTACGGTGAATTGATACGTCAAAATCAGGTGAATTGTGGTGAAAAGGTGTAGTGCTTGTGTGTCTATATTGAAACTCGGTGGCTGTGAGATTTAATCAAAGCGTATGTGTTGCTCTGTTGTTGCCAGTTACACTAAACGCTTATACATATTTACTTAAACCTAACTAAATACATATACAAATACGTTTACAATTACACAAACATATATACAAATATCTTAGCTATTGTTGTGCAAATAACTTTAGATATGCACAAATAAACAGGTAAATTGTCAAACCGAAGTTGTCAACAGTGCGTATGAGTTATGCGTTCAAAGTAATGCTTTTGTATTGGCAACAACACACAACGCACAGGCCACGTTCTAACGCAGTTATGTAACCGAAATTAGCAGACAATTGAGCATATGATTCCAGGAATGCGAGGTTATGTGTGCGACCCTGGATTTTTCATGGAACCAAGTATTTTTAGCCTTTTGTGGCCGATCGTGCTTTATGCGGAAGTGAATGAAGTGCGCAACGGCATGGAAACGAAGAATTTACATAATATCGTACATATTTAAATGTAGATGGAGATATCTACCTAGATATGGTATGTGAGTTAGCTTTTAGTTCGTGAGTGGTTCCTTTTTGGTTTTTTTTTTTTTTTTTGCCTGGATTCCCTTCGGGCATACTCTTTATTTTCATTCAAATGTTCTATTTCATTTGCATATAAACCGTCATATACTATGTATGTATATATTTTTATACACATGCATACATATGTATTATATATTAAGGTAGTTTTATAAAAAAACGTTACGCAAACGTTTCTTTCATTTGAGGTTTGTCGAATATTGCCAAAATTGAACATTACTGGAAACTTGAAAAGGCTTCATTTGTCCACTTCAAATTGAAATTTTATTTTATTTTCAACTATTCCTTTTCTATTTAAGGCTAAATAGAAATAGCATTGTATTTTCGAATGTTCTTTATATTTAGTCAGTTTTATTACAGATTTATTTATATCCCAATTTATATGTTCTTTTCTTTGCGGGTGCTTTTTACGTAGCGGATCGCAAAACCAGCGCACCTTGAGAAGGGATGTTTCGCCTTTTCACTTTAGCTCGTTTTCAAAGGAATGTTTCTGGCTAACCAGAGGATACTTGGTTTAAAACTGAAAGGCGCGAGCTGCTTAAGCCACATGTAAAAAAAGGCCACACCCACATGGCCTCATGGTGAAATCATTAAATTTTTAGCATTCCCTGAGTGTTGCGAATCGGTTTCCACTTGCTTAGTTATTTCATTTCATTTGTTTTTTTTTTTTTTGCACTTTTTTGAATTCGAAAGAAATTTGAGTGGTACAGTTTGTAAGAAGCAAAGTATAAATCTCGAGGTAGTATGGCAACTTTACGCTCTAATAGTGCGATCTAAAAAATTTATTCAAATAACCGTTAGAGTTGACTTCGCGATATTCTTGTATCAATTTCGTGAAAATATCTCTAGAAATAAAAAGTTTCTCATATAAGCACTTGCTTTTGATCATTTAGTTTGTATCGTAGCTATATTATTTAGTAGTTCGATATCGCTAGTTTCGCAAAATGTGCAGTTTCTTGCTGAGAAAAGACTTTCGCATTGATATCTCAAAAAAATGATGGATTAATTCAGTTTGTAAAACTTGTTTAAGTGTATTCACATAGATGAAATGAGAGCACATTATAGCCTTTTCGCACAGCCAAATTAATTTGGTGAATTATGACTGCAATTGAGAAAATAGTTTTCTAAGAATTTGTTGGATAATGACTAAAGAAAAAAACTACTTAAATTGCATAGTCTGAAGACCAAATGGACTACTGTACATTGCCCATTGCTCACTTTTTAAGAACACAGAATATTGAGAGTCACATTTGGGATGTCTTTAAGATTATTAGTGCGACTTTCAGACCTAATTATCAGCAAAAGCCTTTCTATAGATTTCATAAAAAACATTTTCACAACAAAATTTTCATATTTTGCGACAGAGACTTCGCGAAGAACTCGTAAGCCCAAGCGGAGGAAAAAATTGTGCTTCTGCGCTAAACATTAAATATTCTAATTTTGGTTCTCTATGGTGGCGATTTGGGTATAAGTTAAATTGTTTGTTCTATTAGTTTATTTTAGTGTTGATTTCTATAATTTCCAAGCAATAATATTATTACTTATTTGTATTCAACAAAAGTCTAAAACCTGTAGTGTGGAGATATCGATCTGAAATTTTTTCGGAACAGCCGATATCGGACCACTATAACGTAAAGCTATAAAAACCGACAGATGAAGACTAAGTTCTTGTATGGAGACTTTTTTGTTCCACCTTCGTTACAACCGAAGTTAACGCTTTTTCTTGTCTTTCATTAAAAATACAATAACTTTTGAAACGTTTAGGGTAAACGCTTTTTATCATATATTTTTATGAAGTATAACTTTAAACCTTAGGGTTTAGTTGGAGACTAAACTTGTTATCTCCTTATTGTTGTCTTGGAAAATTATTATTAATTTTTTACGTTAGTAAGGAATTGATCGGTCTAAGTTCATGGGTTTGGGCCTATTCATATTGTGATTCTTATTGCCCCATTTGAGGAGAAGCATTATTTTGATGACTGTTGCGATTGAATCGTAAATTATTTTGATGTTCCTAGTGAATTGTAGGGCAAAATTAGAAGGTTGTTAGACGCCATTTCTTGATTGATTCGTCAAATCTGGTGGAGCCGGTGTAAAGATAATATTTGACCAATTGTAAATACTTTCAATGCATTTTGTCAATTTTCCTTGTTTCTACTAGGATTCCCTGTGAATTCTGGCAGGGATTTTATTATCTCAAAAGACTGGTAGCAATTAATTTCCGGATTTATAACTTCGAGGTTCGTATGCAGTAACTTCATGTGTGTGTGTGTTATGTTATTTAAAGTTTGTTTGAGAGTATTTATTTCTGCTCTCCAGTTAGCTGTATTTGGAGCCATATGCTTAGCTATCAATTCTTCAATATTTTGGTTTCTTACTGCCATATATTCAATAAGCTTGTTGTTTTTCAGTTAATATGACTTCTTCAGATTATAAAATAATTTTGAACATATATTTGATTTTATTTTATTTTTTTTGGTTCTCACCTTAATGTAGTGTATGTGATTGTGAGTTTACATTTGAGCAGAAAAATTTGTACTTCTCACATACAATAAACAGTAAATTAATATGTGAGTGTTCTAAACTTACATTTACACTGTTACACGTACTCACTCACATACATATGTATGAGTATAATATAATATATACTTTCACTAACATACAAATATATGTATGAGTAACATACAAATATATGTATGAGTAACTAATACACAGATATAAAACAAAAAATGAAAATTTTACATAAAAAGTGACAAGTTATGTAAATATGTACATAATACAAATACGTGTGTGTTGGCATAATGTGTGGACGACAACAACAATTATTGCTTAAACGTGACTACTCAAATATGATTTTCCATATTTTACTGCTATTTTCGATTTGTAGTTGAAGCGAATTTTCTTTTCTAACAAAAAATGCGTAATTTTGTTACCTTTGGCAATTTTTTAGGCAACACTGGTTTCGGCGGTGACAATGGTTGTTGTTGCAATTTGCTTGTATGTTTCAACACTTTTGCATTTGGCGACGTTAAACCTAGTGTTGTTGTTATAGTTGTTGCTAGATTTGTCACAGTGTTTACTTTTACCCTCTGTTCCGTTTTAGTGTTGGACATATTTGGTGTTGTTGTTGTAGTATTGGTATTGGTAGCCTTATTACTCTAATCATGCAAATTAGTAATTGATTTATTATACATATGAATAAATAAGCGCACATACATACACATATAGTGTATAAATAAGTATGTATTTATATTTATATATATATAGGTATATACAAAACTTATTTCTTATTTATAAAATACTATACTAAAGTTAGTTAAGGGAAAGTTTCCTTTTTTTTAATTTTTCATTAATGTTCCATCACACCTTTTAGCTATATACGCGTTTATTGTGAACAATGTAGGGTTATTTATATATAATATACAATCGCAACCCATAATACATACGAATATGTCAAACAAATTTCTATATATCGCCACCTAAATTGCAAAATAACGTATGATGAAAAAGCTCTAAATTGAGTGTTTTATTAATAACGATCCACTACGTCAAGATACGTCCATATAAGTACATATGTCCAACATTTTAAGGTTCTGCTATCAGATATAAACCAGTTTTAACCAATATTTAATTTTTGTTTCACTCATGTTCCATGTTATAACGTGTTTTATTTTTTCTCCTGTAACTTTCGGAGAATGGTGTGACGTTATTTTGCATTTTAGGTGACGATATGTATATGTATATATAAAATGTTTGATTTCATGAAAGTGTTATGATTAGTAGTGAGTGTTAGTTAAGATAACACAAAATGAATCGCATAAGCATGTATGTATAATATGGATGTAAAAAAGCACCAGTATGTTTTATTTCCTTTCCTTTCCTTTCCTTTCCTTTCTTTTCCTATCGTCTATTTTCCTTTCTTACGCTATATCTTTTGCTTTTCTTTCTTTTCTTTTACCCTTATTTATTTTTCTTTACTTTCCTTCAATGCATAATCGTCTCGAAGAGTTGGGTTTTTAATTCATTAGCATTCCTACCTACAAACAAGGAAAACTGGACTAAACACCCATCTATCTGATAATACTTGATTACTAAAAGCAATTTGTAGCTCTACGCTCTAATCATAGTTAATGAAAATACTATACACAAATTTAACGGGTTTTTCAATAAGAGCTCTACAAAGTTTTGTTAAATAACACAAAATCGGTTTGGGATATCAACGAAATTCTTAATTCCTGTGAAAGTACATTCGATGCCATTATGTTTGGAACACGATTTATTTTGCATGGCCACCACGGGCACGCTTGCAGAAGTTGAGACGCTGAAACCAACTTTCGACAATATTCAAGCATAAATCGGCCGATACTGATACAATCTCACGTTCGATATTCGCACGAAGTTCATTAATCGTCGCGCCATTCAATGACTGCGCCATTTTGCGAGATAACAATGAAAACAATGAAAATTCGGATAATTTTCAAGTTGTTGCTCACCCCAATTCACGAACATACGATGGTTCTGGTGATCAAGCGGCTTTAGCTATTGCGACAATTTCATCTTGTAAGATGGTTGGACAAAACCTTTTCATAGATACCCAACGCTTGAGAACGACGTGTGAGATACTGATTTGGGTCCACCTAAATTGATGAGCTAGCGGCAGCAACATGCTCAACACTACGGACACTTCTTTGTCTCACTGGCACAGGAGCATTTTGCACTGTGCCTGTGAATTCTAATTTTTCCACAAGACGCTTACTCGTTGATCTCACAAGACGATTTATGATGACGGCCATAAATTGGACGTAGCGCTCTTATAGTTGAGGCCACTGACTCCAAATTTCGGTAGTAAATTTTAATAATTCCGACTCGTTATTGGATCGTGTATCTTTCCATGATAAAATGACAAACCTTACTAAAACCAAAATATGGCGTCGTTTGCTGTTCCTATCGGTCCACTTTTCTAACGTCTCCAATCAAAAACCCGTTATATATACCATACGAGCTCAAAAGCGGTGAAATCACACGAAACAGAGAAATCAATTCGATAATATATATCATAAGCTTCCAGGAATAAATGTTCTAGAGCTGAACATAAATAAATCTTAGATCGCGGAGCAGTTTTCATTTATTAACCTAATCTATTTATATCGAATATACATATGTATATCTTAAGTCTATATGGGAAGAAAAACAATCTAATCATAGCTCTGCAGAGGTAACAAGCTAAGTTTTTATTAATTCCTAATTTAATATTACTTTGACTTGCAATATTCGTATGCCAAATTTTGGTCGCTACTAAGTAGTATATATGTATATTTTAAAATTAAGGAGTACTCATAAGTTTATAAAGAAATTTAAGGTATGTTTTTTGTTTTACTAATGAAATATATATTTCCATGATATAAGCTACTTTGACACAAAACCTGAAAGAATTTAACTTATATGTATTACAAATTTTCTCTATTTTATTTTATCTAAACTTACATTTCTTCTTGCCTTCCTTTGTGCTTCTGGACAATGAATCTTGCAATATTATATGATATTCTACTCCGCATCAGAATAGAGTATATTGCAAAAAGGAATGCTATCAGCAAGGTAACTACAAAATGTGTATGTATTTAATCAAATGCATACAAACACGACAAAGGAAGGAAAGCGAATTTATTATTGCTAATGTCAAAGCCTTAAAACGAAATCCTCTGCAGCTTCCAAACTATTCAAGGCATTGAAAGGTTTGCAGTTGATGAAATGCAAATATTTAGCACATATAGTATTTATATAAATATATACTACATATTTAATATATATATATACTATGCATATGAAATTTATCTAGTATAGAAATCTCGTCGGACTAGTGATAATTGAGTGAATGTGAAGTTTGTTGAACGTATAAAAAATGCTCTGTCAAACTGCATTGCAAACCTTACAGGCTAGTGAAAGGCATATTTAATAAAGAGCTTTTCAATTGCCTTGTGAGTGACATAAGATCTCTTGAAGTCATTATTTCGATGTTTATTTAAATAAGGCGCCTAAGTATATGCTAAATTATTTTTTCGGGAAAAAAATTAGATATTTTGTTTTAGGCTAGAAACGACGTTGATCACAGTATTAGTACTATGTTTTAAATTAAGAACAAAAAAAAAAAAAACCAATTGTTTATTAAGGACCACCCTTGCCCAAAACATTTCTTGAAAATAATTTTCGTTTGTTTACTTGCATATAATTTTTTTTTATATAATTTTGCGTTAAATGTCAATCGATTCATATATTATATATTTATTAGTATGTTATATATTTATAATGGCACGTTATGTATTATATATATTCATATGAGTCTAGATTATATATATATACATACATATATATAAGTGGATTTACTCGCTATGGAAACGTGTAATATACATGCTATATTTCATAATGGCTGTAAAAATGTATACATATGTATATGTTTGTTACGTGTGTATCATTTAATTCAATTAACTAAGGAAAACAGCACATTTCTGCGTGCTTACATACACCTATGCCCGGTTATGGAAGGGATGGAATATGAGTATTTATGTAACGCATATATATTATATAAAAATATAAATCTCATGAGTTCAGCCACTCACCTTAATCGAAGGCGGTCCGCTGGAATGTGAGTCATTGTCCGCCAAGACCGACGGATTATTCTCATCCACGACAATTATCTCATAGTCGCCATCCTGTATTGTGCGAGCGCCTGCGGTGCAGTGTTATCATTCGAACAATTTTGTTGTTGCGCATTACAGCAAATGTAATGTGTAAATGTATCATTGTCATTGCCGTTGAGAGTTATGAATACCGTTAAGCGTTTACAAGTATGGTTGGTGGTGTCCGGGAGAGGAAGAAGAAATTGCAAATAAAATACATATTTATATGAGTTTATTTCGAGTTATGTGTGTCTTACTACGTATTACGGTAGTTATTTAAAGTACAACAACAACAAGGAAARACTTCAACAATAAAATAGAACAGAACAGAGTTAGAATTAGATAGTAAATTGATAGTTGGATAGTTAGATTATAGATATGTATGGTAAATGTAGACGAGGAAACGCATCTAAAGCAGCTTAAAATTAATTAGTTGTTATATATGTATAAAATTTTTTTTTCTTTTCCTTTGAGTAACTGATTAATAGTACGTGCTTCTCTAAGTGATTGCTCAGTGATTATAGCAAATAAAATATACCCACTTGAGTAGACTAAAAAAGTTTAATATTCTTGTCCATACACATTTTAAATAGTAGAGAAGAGCAACAAATTACTAAGAGGTATACTAGTACTCAAGTTTACAGTTAGCTTTTAAAGTATATAAGAGACAAGATATTAGTTTAATTAGTTCACTACCCTAATATTTCTATATGTGACCTGGTCTACGAAAAGGGAGCTAACGTGCGAAAACTAGTTTTCTAACAAGTGAAAGAGCATCTCATCTTCCATCCGAATCAACTAAAAAGTGAAAATTGATGTTTTGATACCTAACCCCCTTCCGTAGACCAGGTACATACATATACAAATTTTCACTTTTAAAATTGA